TCATGACGGCTCAAAACAAAGAGGGACGGCTTTTGCGAAAATGAAGCGTAATGGTGAGTTTCCCGCGTTGGAATGGCACTTTCTCTCCCGTGTCGGTCCTTGTATCCACCTGAATCGTCTCAAAGTGTTTTCGTTTGACGGGCACGTAATGGGGTGCACTGAAGTTGTGAGCGATGACATCGCCCTGAGTGACACCAGACTTTTGCACGGGGACGATTCTCAGTAAGGGTGCGCTAACACCCGTAGAAAGTCTCGAATTTGCTTTCGCGTAATCTTGTACTTTCCATCTTGCTTGGTGGCGCGATACAACCTGTTTACGCTGCTCAGACCGCTTTCGCGACCTATGTCGTAATAGAGGGACTTTAGGTACTTTTCCATGATCCTGTCTCGTCGAAGTCAAAGTTTGAAATGACCGCTGGATATAATTTAACCCCCTTTTAATGCCTCTGTTTTATTTCCTTTCTTGATCATTATTATTTATTTCTCCATTTCCCTTATTTTCTATTTTGATTTATTTATCTATTTCTTTGCCTAATTTTCTTTATCAATTATTTTCTATTTTCATTTATTTATCTATTTCTTGACTATTTCCTCTATTAATTATTTTCTATTTTGATTTATTTATCTATTTCTTTGCCTTATTTTATGTATTTATTATTTTTCTTATTTGACCCAAACCAAAATACAAACAAGCGACGCAAACTATTCCCAATAACAACCATTTTATTTCAAACACAAATTACATTACGCATTTCAAGCCATTAACTCTACATCACTTGAAAAAACAAAGAAAAAAATGAAGTTAAAAAGGAGGAACCCTGTGTCGACAGCCCTGAAGAAACCCCTAATTCTATAAAATAAATTGTCTCAACACTTCTAATTTTTCCACTTGCTGCAACTCAAAACATAAAAATGTGGAAAGGTCAAGAATTGCCATGTCCAAATGTGCGTAGTGTAAAGATAATTCCTGATTTTGTTGTACTTCGTATACCCATGTATCAATACACCCTTCAAGTCTATCGTCACACAGCTCCTCCAACATGACCCTCAAAAACCAATTTAGCAACGTTTCTTTGTCTTCCATGACACATATGTGTTGAGTTTGTGAGGGGTAATCGATTTGACAACCCCCACATCTGCTTGCAATAAAATTAGGAAAAATTTAATTAATTAACATTGCCACGTGCGTGTATTGGTAGACCGTAGCCTCAGTGAAGAGGTCCTCGTTGGGCGGTAGGATGGGTGGGCTTGGTGGAGCGGGTGCCGGGCTGGGTGGAGCGGGTGCCGGGCTGGGTGGAGCGAGTGCCGGGCTGGGTGGAGCGGGTGCCGGGCTTGGTGAAGCAGGAGCCGGGCTTGCCGCGGGGATGGCAAAAACACGTCGTCGTCTGCGTATGAAATACAAATACAAATGTGTTTGTATTAAAACATCGCTGGCATTACAGTAACAAAGACGACAAAATACACGCACATGTACATCGAACGCCTAAACTTACCGTCATCGGGCAAGGTCAGGTCGATGACTTCCGCCTCCTGTACTCCGATCAATTCGACATATTCCATATCTGCGTGTGACACGAAATGAAGAAAACCAAATGATACAAATCTGTTTGTATTAAAACATCGCTGGCATTACAGAGACAGAGACGACAAAATACACGCACATGTACATCGGACGCCGAAATTTACCGTCATCGGGCGAGGTCAGGTCGATGACTTCCGCCTCCTGTACTCCGACCAAATCGGCTTGTTCGATATCTACGTGTGATAAGAAATGAATAAAGTCATACGGAAGGAACGTAGGTAGCCGCGAGGTTTATGACAAACGGTCGTACGAGAGTGTGGCATCGATAACGAACGTAACTTACCCATTTTCCGGCTAGCAGCCACGGGGGCCTCCAGTCTCGCCCACTCCTCCTCGGCGTTGAAGTTGGGTCCAAAAAATTTCTGTGCCATGATTACCGGTGGTTACTGGTAAAAAACGGCGATGATGACGGTGCAGAAAGTGTTGTCGGTGCTGATGGTTGCGTTGGAGCAAGATGGGCCTCGAGGGCCGACTCTACCCCTTTTAAGCATTTTTCTCTTCTTTGTTCGTAGCAAGGAAATTTCCCGCCAACTTACGATCGAATTTGGTCGATGGCCGCGTCAATTTCGGGAATCATTGTGTTAAGGCACTCCCACTCCGTCACGGTAAGATTAATCCCACGACCGGGAACCAATGTAAAGCCCTTCTTTTTGACTTGGTGATAATCCCTTATTTTACGTAAGGCAACTCACGAAACTTTTTAATTACAACATGGCGTCCCTCCGTCAATTTAAATCTGGCGCTAGACGGTAAATGCGTCTCCTTTGGCTCTAATACCTTTGTGGTCTTAAGTGGCGCAGTCATTCTTTGTTCAAGCAACGCTCTTTTCCTCGATCCCTCTTCCAAAGGCCCTTGAGCCATTGGGGCCTGTTCCATGTCTTGACGAAATTCAGAGACCGTATTAAGGCTGCCGGCCATATCCCAACTATGCGTGGGTCTACACGATGGCAATGTGTTGCATTTGGGGGACCAAGGGGCATGTGTTTGATGACCGGTCATCTTTCGCGATTGAACGTCTTCCAGAGAATACCACTTTCGCGTTGTTCCACTCGCTTTTATTCCATTTTTCCTGAATGAGATATTGCGCAACAGCCCGTAATATCTCGTGACGTCATTTCTTAAGAGGATGACCATCCTTTTTTAAACAAAAGGATTATCGTTTTATTGATATGACGTAGCATTTTCTAAACATAAATCAGATAGATTCTGTTCCTTTCGATCGACCTTAAACGGTTTTACCCCTTAAAACTTTACTCCGGGTATAAAAATTCATAGGCTCCAATCGAAATATTGCATTGTTGACACTCCGCGAGAAGTCTTTCGATCGTGGCTTCTTTATAATAACGCCGTTTCCACTGCACCAAGGCGTAAAAACATTGCCTCCACAAATTAAATCTTCTTTATGCCTAAATAAATAGCGCTAGAAAGGCCGAGAGACATCAAAAGTTTCTCCCAGGGTTTCT